TAAACTACATGGAGTAATAAACGAGACAAAAAACGACTAGTCATGTAGAAACGCCTGTTATGTAAAGTGCAAATCAGACACGCGTCTGTACAGGAAACACCACCCGTGGAGCAAAGGGCATCATAATACAACTCAAAAGGTCACAATTACTGTCAAAAAACTGGCACGCACACAACATTAACATTCAATGAACTTGTTACATCAAATATGTTTCAAAAATACAAAATAAAATGAAGCAAACGAAATGTTTCTATGAAACAAACTGAAATCATTTTCACTGACTGCTCAAACATGGTTCTTGTGTTGAAGAAACATCTTAAAAAGCCACCGCCTGTTGAAAACTAGAAGAGATTTAATGAAAAATAATCATGTCGCTCGTGTGGCATTGTTAGTCTCTCAGCGGCCTGTGTGTCCTGTTTAATGAGCTCTGGCTGAAGCTACATTTGCATCACAAACACATCATACACGCAAACATGCAGACATCAGTATGTCTCTTAGCCCACAGGCACTCCAGCAGCCCTTTTCTCTCACCTCTCCTCGCTCTGATTGAGGCAAATCTACCCTGGACTTTCTCGGAGGGAAGCGTTTGGTCATATCTGTCACTAGCAAAAACCTTAAAGTTTGACATCAGAAACCCTGAAGTTGTGGACGGTACAGATTGTTGTGTGTGTTACAGATTATGTTGTCAGTTATTGACTTTGCAAACAGCAAATTGTGTGACGGTGGCTGCAGGACTATGGAGCTAATAATATGCCAAAACAATCTGAATTTGAATTGTGTTGTTGACAATTTTAATTTAATAAAACAGAATTTTTTTATATGCCGTTAAACATTGTTTTGAATTTCTTAATTTCAATTTGAATTTCATAACTTGAATATTGAACATCTGAAATGTGGAGAGGGGTCTGGCTGCAGACCTGGTGCAGTGCAATCTGGGCTGCATCCAATAGTTTTTAATGGGCTCACCTAACCCTACCCGTCACAGTGACGTCACTAGCTCCATTTGAGTGCATTGTGTCTGACATTGCATCGCTGAGTGATGCAGTGTTAGCTTGCATCATAAAGGCTGCATCCAGATACTATTGGAAAGGTAGGAAAACTGAATTTTTCAAGGCTGGATTTTTTATAGACGCTTTTTAAAACTTCATGTCCAGTTTGTAAAAAATACAGTTTCAAGTTTTCAAGATGAAGAAATTCACAACATCAAATTCAGTATCCTAAAATTCAGAATATCCAGAAAGTCAGATCGTGAAATTCAGATTCAGCAGAAAGTAGGGCAGGGGTGAACAACAGGGAAGAGTAGACGATCACCGAAGTTTGAAAATGTGTCTATAGACCTTTTTCTTGGAATGCAAAATTACCCATTATGCTTTGCGTGTATGCGCAAGAAAAATGCGAAGAACTTCCGGTCGGCAGCTGATGCGTGTTAACAGTCACATTTGGACATCTTTGAAACGATAGTTTTAATCTATTTTACCTGCTTTTATCCTCTTTGAACTAATACTGTTGTCCATCAGCAGCATCTCCTGGACTGATCATTTAAAGAAATGCGATCTAATAGGATGGAAAACAGCTGCTGTGAGGCGTTTTCCCCTCATTGTCAGACGGCATCTTCTGCAGTTTAAATGAAGCCTCGTCATCGCTAAAGTCAACATTTTCTCTTTATTTCAAATATATAACCAGCCCAAACAAATGTAATTCACCAAAATGTTTGACACACACACGTAGCCTGTACTGTGCCATTGACACACTGATTTAATAACTGTGACAAAGTGAAAATATAGGCTAGTGTCATTTCGAAATGACAGAAAAACACAAACCGTGGTGAATACAACACACGAAATAAAACACAAACGGCTCGCGATTAGAATGAACAGCAAATCAGTAAAGCAGAGGATCAATAACAGACTTTTATTGCTCATTTTTGTAAATTGCACGACTTTCATACCTGTTAAGTTTCATGCCAGTACTCTGGTTTTCTCTCTCTCTCTCTCACTCTTTCTCTCTCTCTATGCGTGTGTGTGTGTGTGTGTGTGTATTAAAGAGCCGCTGAGCTAACAGCTGACAGGCCGGGTACTGTATTTCTGACGGCAGACACGTGAACTAGGAGAACGTTATTCTCGTATTTCTGATGCGCTTGAACCACATGTGACAGATTATAAGGGCTTTAACAGACACATTTCTAAGTTGTGTGTCACAAAAACACTCTGTTATCCATTAAAAACGTTATTGAAACCCATTTTCGGAGCGCAAATTACCAGTTGTACACGCTGTAAACGGAAGTTTTTAGCATTCTACCGGAAGACGCTCGTCGCTATGGCGCCCTCCATTCAGCAGCCATGAAAAAGGTCTATAACAAATTCAGCCTTGGAAAAATTCAGTTGTCTTACATTTCAGATGTTCAATATTCAAGTTATGAAATTCAAAATAAGAAATTCAAATAAAATTTTTTTTTAACAGCATATAAAAATTCTGTTTTATTAAATTACAATTGTCAATAACACAATTCAAAATCAGACTGTTTTGGCAAATGATTAGCTCCATACAGGACTATAAAGCAATGAAGTGGTAGATTGGTGGCAGTGAATAATAAAGGTGGTGAATGTAATTGTAATTTGCAATGCAACAATTACTTTCCTTTTGGCCAAAATTATCAATTGAACAAATCCATAAAATTATGGTGACACCACATCAAAAGCAGAGTTCACCTTCTAAAAAATATCCAACCATGCAGGAGGTCTGGGACTGATTCCCAGTCAATGCAACAGTGCCTTTTAAAAGTTTCACGTAGTAAACAAAACCTGTTAAGGTTCCCTGAAACCTTATCAAAACTAATCGTCCACAAGCAGTTCTGGTTTAGTGGGTGGAATTCTCGTCTGCCACGAGGACTAGGCCGAAAAAATTAACCTTTGCTGAAAAGTTCAGATTTTTTTTAGGAGACCCTAAAAATCAGTTTGAAGAAGCGTTGGTGGTTTAGTGGTTGAATTCTCATCTGCCATGCATGAGGCCTGGGTTGATTCCCGGCAAATGCAAGTAGTTTTGACATTCAAAGTTTCACACTTTCCTGAAAGTTTCAGAATTTGTTTCAGAAACCGCCAAAATGGCCCCAAGAAGCATATATGATTCAGTGGTGGAATTCTTGGATGTCACATAGGAATCCAAGGTTCAATTCTCAACCAAAGTATGTTTTGAGGCCAAAAATTTCACACTTTCCTAAAAGTTCCTGAATTTTTTTCAGAGACCCCAAAAAACAGCAAGAGAAAGCATTGGTGGTTCAGTGGTAGAGTTCTTGCCTGCTATGCAGAAGGCCTCGGTTTTAGTCCCGGCCAATGCAATAATGTTTTGAGGTCCAACATTTTTTAAATGGTACTAGAAACGGGGGTCGAAGACAGCTCCAAATGTGCTGTTCAGCCTCTAGTGGGTGGAATTAGAGCTCCAAGTAGGCTGTACACACCTTGTGGAGTTTTCTTTTATTTAATGTCTTGTACATGAAACAGAGTCCAACCTTTTTGTGTTTTAAGGATGTTTACACCTACCCAAACTGTTTTATCAGTAGCTATGTTTCCATCCAAAAATGCGAATGAACTATGCGCAAAACTGGATTATCGCATAAAAGACGAGCGAAGAAAGCAGCGTTTCCATCCAAAAGCGAACAAAATCGTCACATCCTGATTAACTGGCACCAAATATCAACAGAAAAAACTGAATTTGCTGCAGTAGGAGAAGCTTCGTCAATCTTTTCTTTATTTAATAAATGACTTGCGCCTCAGAAGACAATCCTGACATGCAGTGAACGCGCGGTGGCGTTTGAGGGTGTCAGACGCGGAGCACAGACACTTAATTCTGGAGGTCATTAATAATATAATAACACTAATACTTAAACGGTAAGGAGTTTTATAATGACCAAAACAACAGGTCAGACGGTTTACAGTGTGCTCAGCCTGCTGGTTTGTCCATTTACACAAATTTTCTATCACATGATCTCTTATCACAAAATTACCTTTTTTTAAATGCGCATACTGAAATTTGTGCGGTAAAAGTGTTTCCATCGTAGTTTATGGGCATCTTTTCTTATCGAATAAAAAGTTTATCCTACTCAGTTATGCGCTTAAGTTTTTTTGCGCATATTCAAACTTTATGCGCATCATGGTGTTTCCATCAACCTTTTTTTTTATGCGCATATGCAAAATATGTGGATGGAAACATAGCTAATATCTATTACACCTACACTTACCCTAAACCCAGCCTACTAGAGGTGTAATCCCTCCCACTAAGAGGTCTCCAGGGTGCATCAGTACCTACCTGCAAAATCACACTTTTCTAATTAAGATCTGAATTTTTTTAGAGACCCCAAAAAGAGCCTAAAAAAGTATTTGTGGTGCAGTGTTAGAACTCTTGCCTGCCACATGGGAGTTCTGGGTTTGATTTCTTGCCAAAACAGCAGTGCCTTTTAAAACTAAAATGTTTCTCCAACTAAACGAAACCTGTTAAGGTTTCCTGAAACTGCTTCAAAATTAGGCCCCCACAAACATTTGTGGTTCAGTTGTGAAATTATCATCTGCCACGAGGCCTAGGCCCAAGATGTAACTTCCTAAACAGGTTTGTCCGTTTTTTAAGAAAACCCAAACATCTGCATGAGCAAGCATTGGTGGTTCAGTGGTAGAATTCTCGCCTGCCACGCGGGAGGCCCGGGTTCGATTCCCGGCCAATGCAACAGTTCATTTTTGAAACTGAAATTGTTTCACCTTCAAGTACAAACCTGTCAAGTTACTGTGTTTACACATAAATCAAGGATTGGTAGTTCAGTGGTAGAAGTTTTTTAGGGTTAAGAGTTTAAAACATTCTTCAGACAAGCGACAAGTATATTTGTCACATGCCACTTGGGAGGCCCAGCTTAGATTCCTGGTCAATGCACAAAGAACTTTGTTGTGCCAAAACTGCACATTTTCTATAACAGAGTTCTGAAATTGCAGTAAAAAAAGACCAATAAACATTAGGGGTGCAGTTTTCGCTGGGTCTTTGTTGAATTTCCAGCCAATGGAAAATAAGAAAGCACTAGAAACAAGTGTCCATCACCTCTCACAGAAATGTAAAGTATTTTTCTCTTCTACACTCCAGGCTTCCAGCACCAGATGGTCTTCTAGTTCATCCTCTTCGTCCTCCTCTTCCTCCTCAAACACACTGATTTCCTCAACAGACGTCTCTAGGCAGTAGCTGCTGCCCTGGCCCTCGCTGTATTCGTAGATAGTAGGCAGGCTGCTTCTCATCCCAAAGCGTCTGCGCAGGGCAACCAGCAACGGCTGGGGCACGGTAAAGATGTCCACATTGTTGCCCAAGTCCACCCAAGCCAAACAGGGAAACTTTTGAGGGTCCTTGACCACCTCTATTAGGTCTTTAAGGATAGCAACCGTCAGCCGGTTACCATTGATGGCAAGCGTGGAGAGTTTCGGTAGCACTCCTAAGTATGGCAAAAGAAGCCGCAAGCTCTCATCGTGCAGTTCTGTAAAGCTGATGTCCACCGCTGTCACAGATGAGCCGTTGTTCTGAAGGTAGTAGGCCACCCGATGCAAATCACGGCCAGAGAGAGGAATCCCAGACAGATCCACGGTATCATTTGCTAGTTTCTTTTTCAGTGTAGTCTTCAGACTGTGAAAGAAAAAAAAACAGCATTAGCATTTCACATTATACTATTATGATGCTTATAATCAGGGCTTTACATTAACACCGCTCCCACTAGCCACTTTGGCAGGTTGGAAATAATTTTTACATTGCAGTTTTCTTAAAGCAGGGTTCGACAATAAGGATGGCACAATATAGTTTCAATTGTGATCTTAGAATCGAGAAACAGCACGACCGACAACAATCAACAACTATGTTCGCGTGAGACAAAGCAGGTGAATACCGTATAAGAGGATTATTACTCCCGCGCACTGGTGATGTGATGAAAAAAGCGCAAGTAAACGGGAGCGCATGCGCTTTAAACTAGGGTTGGGTATCTAAGCTATAATGCCGATCCGATACACTTCTCGATACAAAGAATACGATCCGAAATATTAGCGATACATTTGTGACATATTGCGATGCAACACGATACGATTCACACCCATATCACGATACGATGCGATATTTCAGCACTAACTAATTAGATCAAGTTTATGAGATTATGTGAAAGAGGATGCTGTGCCATTGAATGAGTTTGATTATTTATAAACCAAGCAAAACCAAGACTTTTTTTTACAAACTGGCTCTTCTCTCAGAGACAGAGTGTCAGTTTACAGTAGAGGGCCATTTTAGAACATATAGCACATATTATTTAAGTATTTTCAAGATAAACAGAATGTATAAGTGCAATATATATTAAAAAATATATATTTGCTCTCTTTCAACATAAAGGTTGAGCATTGCACAACAAGAATTGTGATTTAACTTTTCAACTATGAAAACAAGTTTTACAAAGATATATAGTGCCACTGAATATTCAACACTTAAGGTGGTGAACTAGCAGTGTTATGCTGCTTTGAAACATCACTGTCACTGTAAACAACAGGCTAATAAAAATATAATTAAATACAAATTAACAGGAGGAGGTGTTGAAAACCTTCGTTCTCCGTGACACTAGGCTGAATATCTTTGCAGATGAACAATGCAGTAACATCCGTTATTGGCGTAGAGCGCACAAAACTGTTGCGCATGGAAAAAAACTTGCAATGCTTTTCTCACCACTTTTGGAGCTGGTAGCTACAGTTGAAGCAGAGCAGGAAGCCGGGGATGCAGAAACCCTGGAAGATGCTTCCACAACAACTCCGTGGAGCCGCTTCAAGTGAGATATCAGATTAGTTCTACTGCCCGTGTATTTTATAGATGCGCGGCACATTATGCAAATTGCATCTGTCCTGTCATGTCGTCCATCCTTAAATCCATAATGTTGCCATACTTTAGTGAGGAATAAAATATTCTCGCGCTTTCTGAGGGCGCACCACTAGCTTCATCCGCACACCTGATGGGAGGGAGCCCTGGGCTCGAGGATCTCATGAGCTCAGGGCTCTCTCCCGGGACAGCATGCCAAACAAGCTTTATAATTAATCATCAGCTAAGTGTGAACTCTTGAAGTATATTCAAGTTACTCAGTATAAACATCAATAACAAAGCTGTTGCATTTTTGCCTTAAATGTGGATGTCATGTTTTCTTGGATGCAGGGGTAATTCCTCATTTTGCAATATGCAGCAAATGCCGCTCCAGCATAGAGTTCAATGTAGCACAAGTACTTTAGGCTCCTTTAATACAGCCTTACACAGTACTAACATTTATTACAGCAAGGGAAATATGGGACAGCGTTTTATGGTTGACTTAATCCCCATAAAGCATATTAGTCATTCAAACAAAAGTCATTCAGCTCATAATCAAAGTGACTTAACCGAACAGTTTGTTTACTAAGATAAGGGTCATAAAATGGCAGGCGGTTTCAATTAAACTCTGCCAACTTGTTGATGACCAATGCTGTCTTTAATGCGCAGTGACTGTGCGCAGCGCCTGCATTTCCCCCCCTGTCACTGCACATTACCCATCAGCACGTCCTCCGCATATCCATATATGCAAAGCCTGAGCAACAACACAGGCTCCTCGGTTGAAATTTTAATGCACACTATCGAGTCATACACAAGGCTGTGGGTTTTGGATTAGAGACCCACAAATAGGGAAGGAAATATGGAAATTTAACGTATGGATAGGGTTCAATGAGTCATTGTTCTTGCCCAGAGCGGTCACGCTGTCAGAGGAAATGAGTGCATGCACCAAAAAATGGAAACATGTGGCATCTCAGGCTGATGGAGATGTTTGGCTTTATATGGATAATGCTGTATTGATGAACTAGTGGATGTTACAGGAGCCACGGGGCATCCGCCTAAACGAGCAGGGCTATTGATCCCTGAAATTAAGCATAATTCAGCTTGTCTTTTACATACATATGGAAGCCTGATCAATTCTTTGCATTACATTGCCATGAAATATTCTAAAGGAGTGGGGAATAATATAGATTCCAATGCATGAGCAATGGCTAACTACGCTTTAAATTAGAGAGCTGACAACTGAACAGCAATGCAGCTCCCTCCTTCAATCTCCCTGCAGCATCCACTCCTCTGCAGTGGGGAAAGTCCATCTGCTTCTCCCCTGCCTGGCATGATAGCATTACATTGAGAGGGGCTTTTGCTGTGACTGCAGGATTTGGACTTCCTACGCCATGCGCTCTATTGTTCTGAGTTTGGGCTTGTCTGATTGGATTATGGGCTTTCCTACAGGGGCTGCCTGGCATGCCGCTGGCACTTTTCTGCGTAGGAGCCAGAGGTCCAGCCAAACAAAACGCATGGATCAGCCTTTTTTTTCAAAAACAGCACTATGTGTTGGAGACATAGTCGTGAGGAAGGGTGCTGAGAGCTCCTGGAGTTGGTGGGATGGGGGTGGAATGGATGGGGTTGGTTTCAGATTGCAATCTAAAACTCCTTTTCTATCTGCAATGTAACATGGTTGAGCTAATCGGCTTAGACTTGAGATAACAACCCTTTATCTCAGGGACATTGTTAAAATTGTCACCTGACATATTTGATAATGACGACTATTTTAGGCTCATTTAAATAATGTAGCAGGACTATACATACAAGATTCACCAAAGCATTTCAGATATGCCAGGACTGGTCTGGAACTTTTTTCAGAGGCCTTAAAATTTCAGATTGTAGAAGCATTGGTGGTTCAGTGGTAGAATTCTCGCCTGCCACGCGGGAGGCCCGAGTTCGATTCCCGGTCAATGCAAAGTGTTTAAAGCCCAGAATTTTACAGAAAAAGTCATATTTTTCAGAGACCCCATTAAACAGCCTAAAACACTAGTGAATCAGTTGTAGAATTTTCTCCTGCCATGCCTGAGGTGTGGGGTTCAATTCCCGGCCGATGTTCCTAATAAAGAACTAAATAATTCCTCAGAGGCCCCCACAAGAACCCAAGCTTCAATTTCGGGTCAACGTAAGCATGTTTTGAGGCCCAAAACATTACTTTCCCGAAAGTTCCTGAATTTTTTTTCAGAGACCCTAAAAAGCAGACTGAGTAAACATAGGTGGTTCAGTGGTAGAATTCTCACCTGCCACATGGGAGGCCCAGGTTCAATTCCCAGCTAATGCATTTGTTTTGATGCCCAATATTTCACACTTCACAGAAAAGTCTGTTTTTTTCAGAGACCCCATAAAACACCCTAAAAAACATTAGTGGTTCAGTTGGAGAGTTTTCACCTGCCATGCCTGAAGACTGTCCCTAAAAATGCACTGAATATTTCCTTAAAGACCCCCACAGGAACCCAAGCTTCAATTTCTGGTCAACGTAAGTATGTTTTGAGGCCCAAAACATCACTTTCCCGAAAGTTCCTGAATTTTTTTCAGAGACCCTAAAAAGCAGCCTGAATAAACATTGGTGGTTCAGTTGTAGAAATCTCACCTGCCACATGGGAGGCCCAGGTTCAATTCCCAGCCAATGCATTTGATTTGATGCCCAATATTTCACACTTTACAGAAAAAGTCAGAATTTTTTTTAGAGACTGCAGAAACAGCCTGAAAAACATTAGTGGTTTAATTATACAATTTTCGCCTACCATGCCTGAGGCCTGGGTTCAATTATCAGCCAATGTTCCTAAAAAAGGACTGAATAATTCATCAGAGACCCATAAGATTCAATTTCTGGCCAATGTAAGTATGTATTTTCAGGCCCAAAATGTCACATTTTCCTGAAAGTTTTTGATTTTTTACAGACACCCTGAAAACTATCTTAAACAAGCATTGGTGGTTCAGTGGTAGAATTCTCGCCTGCCACGCGGGAGGCCCGGGTTCGATTCCCGGCCAATGCAAGTATGTTTTGAAGCCCAGAATTTCACACTTTACAGAAAAAGTCTATTTTTTTCAGAGACCCCATAAAACACCCTAAAAACATTAGTGGTTCAGTTGGAGAGTTTTCACCTGCCATGCCTAAAGAGTGTCCCTAAAAATGCACTGAATAATTCCTAAGAGGCCCCCACAAGAAACCAAGCTTCAATTTCTGGCCAACGTAAGTATGTTTTGAGCCCCAAAACATCACTTTCCTTAAAAGTTCTTGAATTTTTTCAGAGACCCCAAAACACAACATGAGAAAGCATTGGTGGTTCAGTGGTAAAACTCTCGCCTGCCATGCGAGAGGCCCAGGTTCAATTCCCAGCTAATGCGTTTCTTTTGATGCTCAATCTTTCACACTTAACAGAAAAGTCTGATTTTTTTCAGAGACTGCATAAAACAATCTAAAAAACATTAGTGGTTTAATTATAGAATTTTCGCCTGTCATGCCTGAGGCCTGGATACAATTCCCAGCCAATGTTCCTAAATAAAGGACAGAATAATTCCCTAGAGACCCACACAACCCCAAGATTCAATTTCTGGCCAATTTAAGTATGTCTTTTCAGGCCCAAGGTTCAATTTCTCACCAATGCAAATATGTTTTGAGGCCCAGAATGTTATAGTTTCCTGAAAGTTTCAGATTTTTTTCCCGAGACCCTAAAAAGTGACCTAAATTGGTGGATCAGTGGTGGATCAGTGGTAGAATTCTTGCCTTCCACAGAGGAGGCCTGGGTTCGATTCCCAGC